TTAATTTCACATTTTTCATTTTAATTGAAGGACCGTTTTCATTTTAATTGAAACTTAACTGACTACAATAGTTGAAACTTCAACCTTGAGGACTAACATTGCAAATTTGACAATCCCAAATCTGATTAACACCCTCATCTTCTCTAATGGCCAGTCCCGTATCTCCTCCTCTGCTCCAATGGACAGGCCCGTGTCTTCATCTTCCCCTGAAACCCACCCACAGGCCACAACCAACCTCTGTTCCTATCACTAGCCTCACCAACATTCATCATCTGATCACCATCAAATTAACCCATGAGAATTTCCTCTTTTGGCAGGTCAATCTTCCTCCACCTTCCACCAAACCCAACCCCACACCCCCTACAACTGCAGCTGCCAATTAACCATTCAAAAACAGAAATACAAACAACCAAACATCCACCCAAACCACACAATTCCAGCACCTGAGAGAATTTCCACCAAAGCGGTAGTGGAGCCGAAGTTGTCGCCACATCACCACCGTTCATCTTCCCCACCCTTTAACATCAAATAATTTTAATTGACACCACAATCATTAACAATATTCTTTCCCCAAATCTCTAATCTCTCTGTTTCTCCCGTAGAGCGAGAAGGATAGAAGCAATCGAGCTCCAACCACTGCCCTCATTTTTTGCTCGTGAATGGCTCTGTTTCCACTCTCCACTGAAGAAGCCTCTTTGAATGCTTCTTGTACAGTAACACAGCCAAAGTTGAATCCCACATCGAAATCCTATTGATGAAGGCTAAGACATTTTGCCTATAAATAAATGGGCCAACAACCCTTTGTTTTAAAATGCTTCCTGGGCCTGTCATTTGATGGGTTAGGAAGTCTGAAAGATTATGATTTATTTTCTTTGTGCGAATTATCACGCATTTGGGCGCGTTTTAGTGGTCAACGCAAGCGTTGACCGCATTGTCACACGCACACCCTGAAAGCGAGGCGTCTTGGCCACGTGTCACGCATTGGCGCGCTTAGGTGGCGCGTTTCGCCGCGTTTTAGAACACTGATCTTTCCTCAATTATTCGGAACGCAAAAGGCATCATCTAAGGTTCCAAAATTCTTGTCCTTGAATGAAATTTTGTTACAATAGTTGAACCACATTAAACTCTAAGGTTCCTCCTCACCGCCACCCATTAATAAAAATTATGCACATTGATCAACACAGTGAATTTGATCTTCACGTGTAGAGGATCATAAATGTTTTTTCTTCGTGGGATTTTATCTTCGTCGTGTACAACATTTTTAATCCCATGATGAGTATGCTGACGTGACAACGTCAAGCTATAATTTTTGGCAATTCAATATTGAATTGTCAAATTTTGTAGGCCCACATAAGAGGTGGGCAAAATAACTTCCATCTAATGTGGGCAAAATAACTCCTGTCTGCCATGGGTGGAAACATTGGCGGAACTAGGGTGGGGCACATGCCCCCACCAATATTTTGATTTTTTTTTTTAATAAAGAGGGTTTTAATTTTTTCCTTTACTCAATTTATTTTCTTTTTTAAGATGTTTGCTTCAGAGTGTTTACTTTCTCTTTTAGGTCACAAATTCGGTAATATGTCTTCAAAGAACGAAGCATATATCATTTTAATATCTTGGATTATTAGTTCATCCATCATTTAATTTTCATTTTTCTTTTTCCTTCGTTTGTTAAGAAAAATCTAGTGATCAATTTCAAATTTTAACGAATTGAATGAAATGGTTTTATATGTCAATCTTTCTGACTCTCTTATATAGAATTAGCCCTTGTTTGATCTACATTATTATCTCATTAAAATGAAAAATACGACCATTATTGATGAAGACAAAATAATAATTTCATTTAATTTCGAGTTTGTTCATTTTTTGCAAATTGCTAGTCTAATTTGAGTGGAAACGGGCCAATGATTACAACTCAGGGCTTTTGGCCCTAATGCACGTCAAATTTTGAGCAAATTTCGTTGTTTAGGCCCTCAATTATGCGTTTTTACCATTTATGATAATTTTTGTTTTTTAGGGTTTCACTATTTAAACGTTGTAAACCTGTTGAGGCAGCTCAATTTTGAATGAAATAAAGTTTTTTTTTTCTTGAATTTATTTTGATTGAAATTCTTTTTGTGAGATTTTTGTCTTTCCTATAATCTTCCCCTGCATCAATTATCCATCAAATCAACATTTAAATTCAAATTTTCTATCTCTTATGTGAACCCCAATAATGGCTATATATATATATATATAAATTATACGTGGAGAAATGGTATCATAACGAGAGTTTCTTCAGTTAATTATCTCTTTATTATTATTATTTTCAAGGTGGAATGTGCTGTTGATACTGAATCATCTCATTTCAAAATTAAAATTATTAGATTTTACACTTATTTATTTAAATTATATTTTCAACAAACTTCTTCAAGTTCAAATATAATTTAATTTTCATCATGATTTCACTCATACATAATTTTTATTATGGGTGACATCAAAATTTGATCTCAAAGTATATATTTATTTTAATATTATATTGAACTGTCTCATCTAAATACTTAAATATTATTATATGTTTAACAATAGTTATTTTAGTAAATGAATTAAGAAATTTTAATGAAAAAATATATAAATTAAATGACTTAATCATGTCAACATAGAGTCCAAACACTCGACACAATAATTATGAACTTTTAGTGATATTAAACCCAATTTTCATAATTTTTTTTTTGCAAATTTGAATGTGCCCCCTAACTCAAAATATATGTGTCTGCCACTGGGTAGGAGATCATTTTTGTAGAAAAGTAATTATAAAGATATTTATAGACTAATTGAATTATTAATTACAAGTAGAATTATTGGAAATTTGCAAAATGTTAAAATCTTACGTCAAGATTTACTAGATCATATCAATATGGAACATGAAGGAAGTCCTCGATCCTCATCCATTGAAACACAAAATGTACCCTATCCTTTCGAATTGTCAAGCATACCTACGCATCCCATGGTCGGAGCTTATAACTGATATTATATATTAATTACCTACCAACTTGGTCGGTGAAATTAAGGAACCAAAAGTTGTGCACGGTAGGTCCATGTTGTCGAAACACACATGTTTTTCACACGATTGTCATCCGTGTTGCATGGACACCAAACAGCCATGTCCCACGGCGGAAGAATGAATAATGTACTGGTGAATTGTGTAAACCTCACGTTGACACGGATATATCCACTCTGGATAATTAATAAGACCTTTTCAAACATGAATTAAGTTATTTTGCCAAAAAATATTTGTCACCTTGGTTGACGTACTGTGAATAAAAAATTTCAAAAAAATGCCTCCCCATATTATGAGTGTGTTTGTTCTTCAAACTTATTCTAGTCACAGAGATCCTACGTACAGCTGCGACACAATGCGTAACAACCTGACTGTTGGAATTTGAAATTAGTTCAAAAACAACAACGTTTTTTTTCTTTCAAAAAATTCAAGTTAGATTAAAATTTTTTATTTTCTCTTTTAACTTTGTAGTTACCCTTGCTTTCTGAACTATTACAAGTTCCAAAATTTATTGGAAATAAATGATTTAAGGTAGAAAACTTTGATTTGTTAAATAACGAAACTAAAACGAAAGGTTAAAATGAATGTTAGCGAGCATTAACAGAGTTAAATTCAGCAATGCGTAACCCAACTATCAAGCTTAGTTGAACCATTTATCGTATCCATAATTTTATGAAATTTTACAGTATTTTCTAATCTCATTCAAGTATAGTATAGTAAAATTTCAGAATTTTCTAAGATCATTTGGGCACCCAATAAACACTCAAAACATGTGGAAAAAAACTGTTCTCGGGTCCACTAAATATAGCACACGGAAAAGGGTATAACTTATCCTATCGACCTTCAATTGACTTGATTCCAAAGCCATCGGACAAAGGGCTCATAGAGCTTGAACCCCACTAGTTTTGTATAAAAAAAAAATTCAAAGAATTCTGTCCGAAATGACGCTACAGTAAGCTGAAAACTTTTGTTTACAAGTCTAACGTTTAATGTTAACTTCTTTAGAGCCTGTTTGGTGCACATAGGGGTGGGCGTGGGTCAGTTCGGTTCGGTTTGATTTTTTTCGGTTCCAGAAATTTTCGGGTATTTAGTAAATAGAACTGTCGATTTCAAATATAATTTTGGAACCGTTCGGTTTCGGTTCGGTTCGGTTCGGTTCGGTACTATAATTAAATTTTTTAACATTTAAAATAATACTACATAAATACACCTGAAAGTAGATACTAATATTAATAACAAAAAGTAGATACAAATACCAAGTTCAATCTTAACTTTTACAAATTAACGTAATCTAATTTAATAACATATAAATAATAAGTT